GGTGAGACAAACCTCTATCCGGGGACGAACTACCGATTTTGATTTAGGACCATCGCTACTCGGTATGCATGCCGATCGTTCCCGTGGACACGAAGTGTCCGTCTGCCCCAGCCAAGGGCAAACCCGTGCATGATGGGAATCTCCCACTGTGCTTGATTCCGTGTGAAACTGTAGGTCATTGGTCGGATCTCTCAGCTGCTTTATAGTTCCTTTTGAAGCGGACTACTATCAGGCCAGGATTACATAGTAGAGAGTATCTGTATGAAGTTTTGATTATTCGGAAATGCTACATGATTATTGCTGGGCTCCGAGTAGCTTTGTTCTCTCGTGGATGTTGTTACTCCGTGCCACAAGTCTATTCGCTCCTCTTGCACTCAATCACAGCAGCTCATCACCCTTCAGGCGGCCGGCTGCCAGCCGGGAGCTGTCTGCCTCAATACAGGGAAAGCCAAGCTGTGCGAATTCTTCAAAGCTTAAAGAAGGCTGAAAATGTCACTCATTCGCTCGCCAGTCCTTCGCACTTGGAAGCTTCTCTCTTTCTTGATTTGATAGTCTACTCTGATCCTTCAACCTCCTTTGGTCATTTCATCGATTACCACGTGACTAAGTTCGCTCGATGAATCAAAGCCTTCGGAGGTTGAGCGATTTTCAACCTTTTCACTTCACATTCCGTACTTGAGGCCTTCTGCAAGTTGAGAGCTGAGGGGCATTTCTAACTCTGCCTTCCTTGGTGTCAGTGCTAATCAGTGATCAGCACTACTTAGGATGATCGCTCGTGGGCAGTGTTCTGTTCTGAGGCCCGTTGTGCGGGCCACCTAGTTGTACTTGCGTGCGACCCTGATGGGCACGCGTGCTTTTGCTCGGGCCGAGCTATGGCCATCCCTATTATTAGATAGATAGATAGATTCGATTACTAAGCTATTCAAGTTAGTCTTTTCTTGAGACTTTAATGGCAATGAGTTCAGTCCGTGGCGGCATATCCACAACATCTGGCTCCGATGCGGGGAGTCTGCCGTCATTGCGGACTGCCTTTATCTGCACGAGCGAGGAGGTGGTAGCGGCCCTCACTATCAGGCCGCTACCAGACAGCCTGGACGAGGCATTGTTCACGCTCTTGGAGCAGGCATCCCGGGAAGGTCAAGACCCTGATCCTGAACGCTTTGTCCGAGAGTTGGCCGACGCCTTATTCACCCATCCTTTGGAAGGGATTGACGGTCTCGCCGAGCTACGCGATCATGTCGAAGATATCGATGGTGAGGGTCTCAGAACATATGTTGTTCAATGGATCCACAGTCTGGGTGCTGGTCACGGAAAAAGGCTCCTCGACCAGGACGCTGTGGCGATCATCGAGAATTATATCCCCCCTATGGTGTCTAGTGTCGTCCTACAGAATGCATTCATGAAGGGACTCCCTAGCGCTCCGAGACTCACCAAAGATTACCGTTGGGAGCAGCTATCAGCGAAGAGGGAGCTCAAGTCGTTGTGTCAAAGTCCCTTTTCAAAGGGTTGGTGGAATCGGTCACTCCAAGGTCACCAAGCTGCCTCCGTCTTCCGCAGCCCCGTCTCTGAAATCAGTCAGACTACTCCAAGGCGTGAAGTGAGAATGTCTGAAGGGAATGGATCGCCTACAAAAACGTCGGTCGGAACTAGTGACCCTCCGGACTTGGTCAGCCAACAACGACGTCACACCGCTGCCAAGAACGCTGATAAGGCGGCAACAGCATTTGACGGTGGCTCATTCAAGGGTGTCGCTGATAAGAGGGGATTCTCCGGCTTCTGGCGGCAGCTCGAGGGCAAGCTTCTTCGACGAGGGTCGGACCACGGGAGCCCCGAGCATTTCTACATGCTCACTAGTCTTCTTCCAGAGCATATCGTCAGTAAAACGGTGGGAAGAACCGTCCCAAAAACACTGTCGGCCTTCCAAGCTACCGTTGAAGACCTCCGGACGGCCCTTTCACGTGAATATGATGGTTTCATCGAGGTGGAGAAACTCCTCACTGAGACGCTCACTCGAGGGGCCAATGAGAGCCTCACTGACTTCATCGCTCGCATTGACAACTGGGAGGATCGTTGCTCGACAGCTGGGTCGCCGGTGCCAGATGCCACTCTCATCCAAGTCTATCGGTCGGGAGTGTCCCACGGCCCTTCGAGGGAGGCCAGTTATGAGTACCCTTGTCGTTGGACGGACTTCCGACTCCGTGCGCTGACAAGAGCGGCAAGGTTCGATGGTGAGAAGTGTCAGAAGCCCGACACTTCATCTCAGGAGCAGCCTAAATCCAAGACTGCCCCAACACCTCCCTCTAGTCAAAGGCCAACCATTGGTTGGCAACCAACGACAAAAAAGGAGAAGTCTGCCGAAATAATCTCCGAGGGCGATGTCTGAAGGGTGACAAGTGCCCTTATAAGCACATTGACCGTGAATCATGTCGAATGTGGGAAGAGAAGGGCAGTGTCGGTTCGGCGAGTCCTGTAAGTTCAAGACAGCAAGCCTTCACCGCGAGCGGGGGCCAGCACCGGCGAGAAGCCATCTGCTGGCGGGCGTCAGCGTGATCAGTTGAAGGCCATTTCCAACGATGGGGACTCGGGTCAGCACGACGTCGACATCGCAGAGGAAGAGATCCAGCGAATCTGGGCCATGACCGAGCACGTCGAGGACATTGGGTCCAATCATCGGCCGAGCGGTCCACTCCTCACTTTACGGTTCCCCGACGACTCTCCTCCACTACGTGTGCTT